TTTTCACTGATAAGATACCTCCGTCGATGACCCGGGGGGGAGGGTGTGGGGGGGTGGAATCCAGTTCGCTCGAGTCTACAAGACTGGTTTCACCTTGCTGACATGAGACGTGGGGTGGAACGCGCTTGAGGGGCCCTCACTGTGAGACATAGAGCGGAACGAGCAGACAGGGGTGTAAGGAACTTTTTAAGATTTGGAAAGTCCGTGTACTGCAACGAACCGGAGCAGTTGCCTGAGCGCGACGTGAAGAGGAGAGATCCTTGCGTGGAACAACCACACTCGTGCACACCTTGGGTATTTTAGGAGATGCAACGTCGTTGTCAGCAGCCGGAAACTTTTCTAGGCAGGCACCACTTCTCTGCCAACATCTGGCGCGAATCTCCGGCTTCCGATAGCCCGGCGACGCGTCGCGAACCAAGAGCATGCTGCCGGAGGTCCAAGTAACTTCGCTGCTCGAGCTCCGGGGAACAATGGAGGCTCGGGCGGGTATCCATGGACAACATGAAAGGAGAGATTGCCGCCTGGCTGATGCTGGTAAGGGGTATTGCGCGGACACTCAACCCAAAGAGGAGCTCTTTGCCTCGCAGGTGGTAGTTCTGCGACACCAGACACCGCAAACAGTTATCCATTCTTGATTCATCCTCTCCGCTTGGCCGTTGGACCTGGGGATGCGTATTCCGGGACGTCAGGTCTCAGCGTGCCTTGCCGATCAGCGCGATCAAAGACTTCCTCCAGAAACGTGAAACGCTAAGTCGCCTCTGCGTCTAAACGACAGCGCTTGGGAAGCCATGGATACGAGATAACAGTGGTACAGACATGGCCTGGGTGGTTGGGGTGGGGTGTGGTGGTGGCGGGTGGGGTGGTGGGGGTGGGTGTGGTTGTGTGGGTTGGTTTGTTTTTGTGTTTTGGTTGTGTTGGGGGTGGGGGGGGTACGCTGGTTGCTCTGGCAGGAGCAATGGTGGACATTGGGGTGACGCGGAGACTGCTACCAGGAAAGAAGGGGATCAGATGGGGACTGTGGGGTGTACTGTGGGTAACCTGCCGGAAGGTAAAGTCCTGTCACAAAGGTCCAGAGCGCAAGTGTGACCGAGTGGGTCTGTGCGAGGGGTATGGCAGAGGTGGAGAAGACCTGCCGCCAGTCTGGACGAGAAGTTTCTGTGCTGCGCTAGCCACGACGCCTAGACATGCTGGCCAGCAGGAGGGGCGAGGGAGCGCGCTGGCCCGAAGCAGGCGCGCGCGAGAGAGCGTGTGGTTCGGGGACCGAGAGAGAGGCTCGGCTGTGTTCTCAGGTAGTGAGGAAAGAAGCATGAGATGGCCCGAAATCGGATAGGCACGAGAACGAGGTGCTCGCCGGAGGAGCAAACAGAGCTGGAGACACCCCTTGAGATCGAGGCTGGTCCGCGCCTGGCGCGCGCGGGTTTGACCTTAGCTGTCGCGAGGGCCAGGTCACGGATCCCTATCACTCGGTGGCTGCAGAAGTGGGGTATGGCGAGCGCTTGGGAGCTGCTCAGGACTATACAGTCTGGATGCCGAGTGCCGCTGTGTCCGAGTCTGCAGGGAACAGCGGGCGAGTGGACGAGTGAACTGTGAAAGTTCGGTATTAAAGAATCAAAGCGCAATCGCCTTGGCTAGAGTTGCAGCGTTGGCACGGCGGTCCTGATGCTATTGGCCAGGTTTTGTGCTGGAGAGGCGGCGTCCAGACCAGGTGAAATGCGGTCGCGGCCCGGCGCGGCGCGAGAGCGCGAGGCGGGGCGCGACTCTCCAAGAGCCATCGGTCGGACGCCAAGCAGGCGCCGAGCGCCAGCGGGGAGGCGCGCGCGAGCAGAGAGAGGGACGGGGCGACGGACGAGGGGTTTGTGGGGTCCCCCCTGAGTTGCGTGGAGGGAGTAGCTCGCGAGACGCCGTCGTTGGAGCGGGCGCACGGGTCCACCAGCAAACGTCGGGGGGGCGAGGTGCAGACGAGTGCAGAGAGCGGTGGGGGAGACCTGCCGCGGTTCGGAGGCGGCGAGAGAGAGAGGGTGATCTGCCTGTGGATCCACACAAACTAGACATGGGAGAGGGTAAGTGCAGTGGAAGAGAGGCAATAGCACTGAAATGGCAGTATGAAACCGTCTGTAAAAGTTAGCAAGAAACCCCAAGAGATTGCTACACGTTCTTTCTAGGTCGTTGGCGTGCCAATTAGCCACCGTCAGCGACCTTAGCTGGGTCCATTTCTACCTTGGTAGGGGGAAATCTACATGCCAAAGATCCACAGTTTTGCGAGAGTAAAACTCACATTTTCGCTTCCACAAACAAATGTTTATCCAGAGCCTGCAGGAACAAGATGAACATGGTTAAACATGAGTATCTCATCTGGGAGAAAAGATGAGAATATCATCGAATACACAAAACAGAAAACATTCAGGAAATTCTTAACACCATCATTAATAGGGCTGGAAAACAGCAGGTGCATACAAAGCCAAAAGGCATCACAAATATTCGTAATTCCTGTAGTACTTGGAAACCTGTTTCCACCTCCCCCTCGCGGAGCGCGCAAGGTGATAAGCATCTGTTAAGTCAGCTTGTGAATAATCTGCTCCCTGTAACAGTTGTAATGCCGCTAGAGGGAGAGGGAAGAGAGCGTGTGTTCGTGAAGCGAGTTGGCGGGGATTGAGCGGGGCGGAGGGGGCGGAGAGGGGGGGCGGGGACAGCGGGCCTCAAGTCCCGTCCGTGTTGCGCGCGAGAGAGAGAAAGCGCGAGAAGAGAGAGAGTGAGAGAGGAGAGAGGGAGCGGAGGAGGGATTCCTGATGGCCTCCCGCTGGCCAGGAAGAAGGGGAGGAGCGAAGTGGGCGCGTTGGAAGGATAGGAGCCGACGAGGAAGGGTAGAGAGGACGTCGATGGGGCGGGAGAGGAGAAGCTCGGGAGGAGGACAGGGCCTCCTTGAGGCGTAGGAGGATAGGAACGCGCGGGAACTGAGGGGGGCCTAAATCAGGAGGAGGCAGGCGGGAAGAGGAGGAAAGGTTCATTATGCCTTGATCCCGCTTAAGGTTACGTGGTGGCAGAGTAGGTGACAACCCTGGTTAGCGGTCTAAACAGAACGGCAGATCTCACTCATCGCCGCGCCCACCCGGAACGCGTGCGCGTTCTGCCGAGGCGGAACTGGAGGGTGCTGTTAGAAGCCGAAGGGGTACCCCAAAGGAGAGAGATGAGGAGAGTTGAGCAGAGTGGTATTGAATAAATTGAAAACTCGTATTTGCTCACGGAGTGTTCGGCTGATGCTGAGACTAGATCTACCAGAGCGTCAGGTGCGGAGGTAATAAGTTACATAAGAAGGCGCCGGTCTAAAGCACTAGCCCTCTAAGAGGGGCCTAGATCTTAAAAGAACAACCTTTAGAGTTTAAACTTTGTAGCCAACTCCCGCTCTAACAAGCTCTCGATCAGCCCTGCAGAATCGGACGAATGCGATCCTGAACGTAGCAGCCCAAGTTATGATTTGTACGCCAAGCTTTATTCTGGAATATCTTCTGGCGCGGAGAGCGCTGAAGGTCAGTCGCTCACCAGCGTCTGTCCTTCGTTCTGATGAGCCTGATCTTTGCCGAACAGGCTGCGAAACATGACCTGCACTGCTGACGGGCAGTAGAAGCAGCGCGCGGCTCCCGTAGGACGCCTGACGTTCCTCCGGAGTGTAGTCTGGCTCTACCGAGCTGCATCTTCCTCCGCGGCGATAGGGGCGCTGGTCGCTCCGAAAGAAGACTGGAATTCCTCTGCCAAACGTAGTATTCCCTTGGTAAATCCTGGTCTGAAAGTGGAGTGGATTCTGTATTCCTTCCTTCCCGCTCTCTTTCAGCTAGACGTTGATCAACCCGGATAGAGCCATGGCGGATGAGTGAGTCCACATCTTCAGGCAGCTGTAATGGAGCACAATTGATCCTTTATGGGATCCGCTAATCCATGCAGGAAAGCATCAAAGAGAGCCGCTGAGTTCCACCCACTCTCCGCTGCCAAAGTACGGAAATAGATTGCGTAATCCGCCACTCTCCTCTGCCGCTGCTTAATGTTCACCAGGGCTCTCGCTGACTCTCTCCCGGGTGATGTCAGATCAAAAATCTTGCTCATGGTATCCACGAACAGTCTTAATGACTGACAAACAGGCGAGGACCGGGACCACTCCGCTGTTGCCCAGGCTTCCGCTCTCCCCGTCAGATGAGAAACAATAAAAGCTACCTTAGCTTGATCGGTGGGAAATGCTGCGGGCTGGTGTTTGAAGTGGAGATCGCACTGCACCAGGAAAGGACGACAGTTTCCAGATTCTCCTGAGAATTTCTCTGGCGAAGCGAGGCGGATCGTAGTCAAATGCACGGGTACTTGAACGGGAATATCGACAGACCTGACCCCCGCTGGACCGGAAAGCTCTGCCGCAGGAACACCAGGATTTGCCACGAGGTGAGTGAGTACTTCCCGCATCTTCTCAGCCAGTAGGTTTATTTCCGTGGACACAGTAGCTTGAAAGTTGTCCTGACGAACATTTAAGCCCTGGACCCCTTGGTTAATTGCTGAAAGCTGTTCCTCATGTTGGTGAAGGAGTTTACCCTGCACCTGCAGGGCCGTTCTTAGCGTTGTGGAATGGGCTGAGTCCATCTTGTTTGGTCGGTTCGTTCTGATACGATGGCCTCGTAAGAACTCAGATGCTCAATTCCGTTGCTTGGTAATCTTCTTTATTGTTAAGAAAACCAAAGCTATCAATAATGACTCCTAGACTCTACTAGGATTCTCAATATAATCACTCGGTTCAACTAGGTAATGTAACATGAATCTCTGGTAAACAGGCATAGAGATAACGACATCACAAGACGAACCGACACCAGACAAAGGGAGAGAAGGACTAAATATACACATTAGGCAATGGGGCATAGGTGGACACAATCAGGGGTGGGAACAACAATCACTCTAGCAGGTGCCACACGGACAGGAAGTGCCGACACCTGGAGAGAGAGAGTAGAGTAATTAACATCAAAAGACAGATATACAAAACACTAAAACACAACAACTAACAGGATACTATCACTAAAACCTTACAGTCGGACTTCTGAGCTGCCTCGGTGAGCGTCTCTCACTGTAACCATAACTTGGTTAAATAGCATAGTTGCTTTTGAACATGAACATAATATATCAGATACAAACAGGTTAATTAAATACAACAAAATATACAATTACTTAAAATAATAAAGCTTCAGATAACTCCAAACTTTTTGCACACCATTGTTTTACAGCCCAGTCACATATCATGCCTTCTATCAGCGGTTTGCTCACAAACAGCCCTCAAATGCATGCCTTGGTGACGTGCTGTGATTTAAAGCTGTCTTTCAAAGTCTCTCAGCTCTGTACTCAGCTCTGTCACAAACAGCTTTCATTTGTATCTGTTTTGGTCCCAGAGCTCTTTCAAAAACTCTTTAATGTGCACTGGCAACATTCCCACATGAACCAAATCTTCAATCAATTTCTCATTATAGAAAGAAACGTTGATGTTTCGCTTGTAACACTGGCCTCAACTTGAGTGAAGATGCATGTTCCTCTCTATGAGGTCATAGTGAAGGAAAGGAGTGGGCTCTTTAAACTGCATGGAGTTATGATACTCGGATGTTTCAAGAAATAATATCCATAGCATCTCTACTGGCCTTCTGAAGAGAATACATTGTTTTTGCCATGAAAAGACAAAGCTCCGCCAAAATAATTTCTCCTCCTTTCAAACATTTGTAGCACTCTTCAATGGTAGATTTATCCTAACACTCAGTGACCATGGAGACTGTACATGACTTGCTTAAAAGCAGTAATTTGTCCACCAGCCAGCGCCCTTAAGTTTTACTCCCTCCCCCCCGATAAAATAATTCATAATAATTCTCTTCCCTCTGTTTGCCTTGGATGTCTGCTTGTCTCTGTTGCTCAAGGTGAAGCACCTCCTCAGCAATGTTGCCGTTGATGAATAGCTTCCAAGCGTCTTTTGATGAGACGGTAAAATGCCCGGCTAGACACCGAAGGGCCCCTTCTTAATGTGTTACGGATGGCGTGCTCCCCAGCTATCACTTGCTGCAATTATTGGAGCTGCAGGATGGGGTCAATAAACTGTTCGCTCTCCTGAATTTAACAGAAGTTATGCATGTGTCCTTCAGCCTCAGGTACCTTCCTCTGAAGACCAGTGCTCAGTGTACTTTCAGACGCTATTGATCCGATTTCCTGTGTTTAGTTCATATGTAGAAAAAATAAAAGAGTCAGAAGCAGAGACGTTAATGACAACAAACAGCCCAAACATTACCTTTAGAGAGTGACAGAAAGCTTTAAGATCAATATTAATCAAATATATTTAGTCAGCAATCACAACAAAATGGTCTTTGTTTTTATTCAGTCTCTTCTGCAGCGAAAACCTTTACTGCACTCAGCAAGCGAGAGGAATACTAATCAAGTTCTAAAATGTCAGGCCTACTCCAAAAGAGCTTTAAGATTGACATGAAGAACTCTGATGGGTTAATGCCTGCAAACTTCCCCACAGAATTCTGTCATAATTGAGTGTGACAGGAAGCTTCAGTATGTAAAAAGGTTACCTGCAATTCAGTTAATGATTAATATAAATAATATAAACACGTGTGAATAAACAATCACTCTAGCGCAGTGTTTCCCGACCTATGGGCCGCGGGTGCTAGTCATTTGTCAACGAGTGTGGGTGGGGTGCGCTAATGGATTGTCAACGGGGGGAGCCTCGCTGCGGGGGAAATTCTACAGATGGCCAGTCCGCCCCTGCAAAATGTCTATGCACACGTTGTTATTATTAATAATAATTAAGACAAAATTGAGAATTTATTTTATTTTATTTGTAATCATCTCGTGGCGATCCCCACTTTGGGAACCCCTGCTCTAGCGTATCAAATTAATGTTTAAAGCAGCAGAAAAAAGCAGTGGAATAAGAAAGCAGTTTTTATTAAAAATGATAGGTCCATCTATACCAGGGGTTCCCAAAGTGGGGGTCGCGAGACCCCAAGTGGGGGTCGCGAGATGATTACAAAATAAAAATTGAAAATTAATAAAAACTTGTTATCAATTTTTTTTATCAATTTTCTTTTACAATTATTATTAATAATGACGTGTGCATAGACATTTTTCAGGGGCGGACTAGCCATCTGTATAATTTTCCCGCAACTAGGCTCCCCGTTGACAATTCACTAGCGCAGTGTTTCTCAAACTTTTTCATACCAAGGATCTTAACCAATAAAAAATCACTCACGGACCACCTAACTCCACAAATATCCCAAAACAATATAGCTGCTCACCATTCCAACAGTACATAACAAATGACAGCCTAATAATGACAGCTTAACCTTCTCTATATCGCCTCGCTCACACATTAAATCAACAATACATATACAACTACAGATTAAATAAGCATTTAGTTCAAATGCGATTTAAAATGCTCAGGTTTTACACCTCTTATTATGAAATGTAGACTACATTTATTACGGAGTTTATGTCTGAGCCAACAGTCNCAAATGATTAACTGTGTATGTAATAAAGATCATAGTGTGGGTTGAATCCATTTTCATAACCACTGATTTAAATGCGGAAACTGGGCTTATTCATCAGAATTTCGTATGACTTGACTTGACTTGCTTGACCTGAGCAATGACTTGACTTGACTTGCTTGACTCTCACCACAGGGACTTGGGACTTGCTTGATACTTGTAGGTCAAGACTTGAGACTTGCTCATGACTTGCACATGTAGGACTTACTCCCACCTCTGGGCGCTACTGTAAGAGAGTGGGGAAAAAGGGATAGTACACGTGCAAGAGTCAGAGAGCACGTCACCTCCTTTGCCATGTCGGTGTATTTCTGCTTCTCTTTGGGTTCCAGAACAGCCCACCAGTCGGCCAGGATCTTGGTGGCCCCGCGGTTATCCAAGCGGGGATGTTCCTGCCGCACCAGGGAGCGGTGGCGTTTGCAGAAGAGAAGGAAGGCATTCATTGGCCGCCGAGCCCGCTGTTCATTGGAGTCCTCCTCCAATTCCTCTGTTTTGCTCTCACACTGCACCTGTGACCCCTGCTGCTGGCCACACAGCACCGGCTGCTGAGACACAATCACAATCAATCAGATGCAATACTGTCCCCTGTTTTCTGTCTCGTTTGTATGAGAAACTGATGTTTCTCCTGAGTTTGAGGATTAGGTGATAAAAATGACCTGTCAAGCCGTTACACACTTACCTTCTCCAGCTCTTCTTCATCCTCCTCTTCTTCCTCCTCGGAGAAATCCAGAGCCTTTTTGGAGAGAAGTGGGTGCCACTGCAGACATTTACGTTTGGGACGCTTGCCAGCGACCTCCCCTGCAACAGGTGGCTCCTTAACCCTTCCTCCACCCTTCATGGTACTACTGCACCTAGTAACCAATAACAACCATAAGACCTTCAAATAATGCACAGTGAATATATGCATATGCATTTTAAATGTGTTATAATAACCACTGGTAATGTGCATGAACTAAACAGAACATTTAATGACCTCAAGCAGGTTTGCAAAATAGGCATGGAATTGACCAAATACATATTAGTAATCAGGCCATTTGTACATATAACTTGAAACATTTGAATACTGAGCTGATCCTGAGATACATATATGTAATACACTTTATTTTAATAAGCTGAACTCGGGCTTCAAGCTATAGTGACGGACATTTTAAATATGAAAAGTGAGACTGACCTCTGTCCATGTCAAAGCTTTTTTGGTTTGATTTCACATGAGCAGGGGAGCATGTGAAGATATCAAACTATCCCTCACCTGAACATGCTCTCATTAGCTTTTAATTTACAATGCTAGTTTTCTCCCTTAATTTCCCTTAGAGAGCCCCCTATACTGTGAGTGACATAAAACAGAACTGCAAATATTAACGGATGGTAATTTAAGGCTGATGGAGTGATATTTTGAATTAGATACCACCCTCTATCAAATAATGGCCTATATATTACAGAGCTGTACTCGAACACTAATGAGAAGAATTGAACCGTGGATGTTCACACTTCATGGTGTTTCATGGTGTTCCAGAATGTGGCTTTTACTATGAAGCAGGGCAAAGTAAAATACCAAAACTAAAATATCAGCTTATATTGTATGTAAAAAAATGTATCACTTAAATGAAGGTTATCCCCTAAAATTATATTCAGAGAAACTGTGACCTTCCACTACATCCACAATGGTATGTTTAATCACTGCTATGAAGTAGTAATAGATTACTGAACTACATTGCGACTGGAGCTGGTGGAGTTTCAAAATGGTGTCATGATACCTCCAGTGCTTCTCAAAGTGTGGTCCGCGGACCACTGGTGGTACGTGAGCGCCCCTAGTGGTCCGTGAGTATATTGGTAACATTTCACATTTGAAATAAATAAATACATTTAAGTTTTCCGCACTCTCGCGGGAGTATCTCCGCAATGGAGCGAGCTTAACTTTCATGATATAGCCCAGCGCAACACCTTCGTCACACATGTTGCCACTTGTTTGTACCATTTTCAGGCGATTTGTAATCTGTTCTAGAAAAACGATGTGTTTTTTTTTAGATTTCAAGAACCGTATAAAACAAACTATGGATGTCTTGTATGAACATTTATCCATGCTGGAAGTAGATTTAGATGTGTTAGGAGTTAGATTGAGATTATTATCTAATATATGCATCCAATGAAGCATTACATGGAGTCTGTTGATGATCAGAGGCTCTTGTTGGGACTGCAAAAACGTTTTTTTATTTTTGTTTTGTAGGCAGACCATGCAGGCCAGCCCAATGGTCACCAAGGTTCATGTTTTAATAGCATTTTTACAACAACAAAAAAGCCCACGCGAGCCAAACATGTGAAAAAATGGCTTAGACCTCAGAGAGTTAAACTTGGGCCTGCGACCATAAGGCACTTTCACACCAAGTACTTTACCCAGGAATAGTTCCCGGAACTTTTCCCCAGAACTTTTATTTCCTGGAACTATCGAGTAAATCGCATTCACACCGGAATAAGTCCCTGAGGGAGCCTCTGACGTCACTTCTTCTTCTAGCCTCGCCACTCTACTCCGGCCACAGGCGCAAATGTATCGCTAAATGAGTCCTTCCGATCCCATAGGGGGTCGTCGGAAACTGACTCGGTCAGTGTTAGCCCCGAAGGCCGGCCTCCTAAGCCCACCGTCTATGTTATGCGGCTCTTCACAAACGCCGGACGGTCATTTGGNTAATATGATTGTCATCGGTCTAAATTAGATTTCAAATGATTAACTGTATGAAAGACAGTGGTTATGAAAATGGATTCAACCCACACTATGATCTTCATTACATACAGTTAATCATTTGAAATCTAATTTAGACCGATGACAATCATATTAGATTCATATTAACCCCAGAACTGTAGACAATATAGCTAGGACTCAAAAAGTCTGTTCAAAAAGGCAGAATTCCAGGTAAGAAGATCAGATATGGCATTTGCCATGACACATATTTAATTTCAATTTCTGTTAACACTAGAACTGCCATCAGCGTCAGCACCTACATAGATATCATTTTGCAAATCAATTAATTTGTTTCTCTCTCTCTCTCTCTCTCTCAATGTCGATCGTCTGCAAACAGCTGTCTCTCTCTCTCTTCTTATATCCGTTAGCGCAGCTAGCATCAGATGCTAGTAATAACAACAAGCCCCAGTACCGGTTCTCTCTCTCTCTCTCTCTCTCTCTCTCTCTCTCTCTCTCTCTCTCTCTCTCTCTCTCTCTCTCTCTCTCTCTCAACTGACAGCCCGTCAGTATCGGGGTTAGTCAAAATGAATTCCTTGGCGGTTCTAGTGTTCATTTACCGTTTTGCCTTCTCTTTGCTTAATCGATTTGAAACCAAGTCTAACGTAGCTTAAACTTAACGTTAGCTTTCTAGCTAACACAACACATGCACGCACATTTCTCTGTGGGTTTTTTTGTAGTGACGAATTAAGTTGGATGTTGTGGTGGTCCTGTCACTGATCTTTATGCTGCAGACCCTGCATACCGCTGTTCTCTTTTTATTAGCGTCATTGACAATAATCCTTGAATCCAAACTTCACTATTTGTGGAGTAACGCTAGCCGCTGCCATGTTAACTGAGACTCCTGCCTTCTAGTGGGTTGCCAGGTTTGCGCGCATGGCGCTATAATCACCCAATCACGTTTTTCGAAAAAACTAAACGTAATATCTCAATACAAAAACAAATGCAAATATTTAATTTTAAACAGTCAAGTCCTTTCAAGTCATCTGTCTCAAGTCTTAAGTCATGAATACCAAGTCAAAGTCAAGTCTTTTATCAATGTTAGTCAAGCAAGTCTCAAGTCCAAAAATATGCGACTCGAGTCAAGTCATGTGACTCGAGTCCCCAACTCTGGTAGCGCCAAAGTAACTTGACAGTGTGAAACATGATTTTACATTTCTTTTAAAGAACTGCTGCAGCTTTGTTGGTGATAAGCTTCTGGATTGGCTTTATTAGTGTTTAAAAAAACAGCTTGATATCATACAAAATGCAAAAGAAAGCTCATAGCAAGAGAAAATAGTTGTTCTGCATGAATGTCTGTTTTATTGAAAGACATCATGAAGGCTATTGTGTCTTTGTCTATGTTTAACAAGTTAACCAGCAGGAACCTTTGATTTGATTGACCAACTGCAAACATCTTCTTAATGTCCATGCAACAGAAAGTGTTATTAACATTTCAAAACAGCTTTGTTTTGGACATGTTATAAAATCGTCTTACATTTGTTCTGATCCGAAGTTATAGAAGATGATATCAGGTTTATGCCTCAGAAACATGTTTGATGGCATTAAAATGTCCAAATCATAAACACTACTTTTTGCCAACCATCCCAAATTGCACAAAAGTGAGAAGCACAATTATGACTTATAAATCTTCAAATTCATACCTTTTCTATTATTATTATTTGTAAAGGAGTGAGTGAAGGATGGATATTTGTTTAGACAAGGCCATTTTATTTTCAATCATTTCTGATCAAACCCTAAACCACACCGTTTTTATTTAGTTAATTTCTCATATTTATCCACAATATTTCATGTTATCGTAAAATACTTTATTTAGTATTGATTCATATATTTTTCAAGTTTTTATTGTAACTAAATCATTTATGTTCCTTCAGTACAAGGATGCCTTTATGAAGGCAAACCCGGGCTACAAGTGGTGTCCCGCCACCAGCAAGCCAGTGAAGAGCCCCTCTGGTCCCCCGGTCAGCAACCCCCGCAAAAAAGTTTGGTCCTTCTCTTCCAACTCAACCAAGGACTCCCCCACTGCCAAAAAAGTGCCCAAAACTGATAGCATGCCACAGTTAAACTTTGCCATGGCAGGTGTGTATGATAAAATATTGTTTGTTCAGTGACCAAGTGACAACATTTTGGATGATTCTTTAACTTCTGTTGTTCTTTCAGACCCTACGAAAATGGGAGGCCTAAGCATGCTACTGTTAGCGGGGGAACATGCCCTCACAAACAAAGAGGTAGGCCCCCCATGGGTGCATCCTTACAATGCTCTCAAGTCAGACCAATCACTGATACTATTTTATCTGTACATGTGTGTAAATAATGTCTTCTTATTTCAATGTGTGACTAACTCCAGTATTGTGTTCCACTGCAGATCCCTTCCAGCACTAAACCCAGGTCACCTGACGCAGCCAGCGAAGTGAACTCCTTTCCAGGGGACAACGAAGAGGTGCATTCTGAGAAGTGTTATATATATATACTCTATATTAGGGATGCCAGAAACTGACCATGATCAAAATCTAAAATCGGACAGCCCTGGCGAATAATAATCGATTATTCGACGCCCGCTTGCATTTGACCTAATTTGCACTTGTCAGTTTGAAGTAGTTCCACGAGGAACTCCTCTTTCCTTTGTTCATCTTTAGTTGTGTTCTCACTCCAATAAATTAATCGCACGTGTGACGGAGAGGGGGGAGGGGGTCGGTGTGTAGCAGCGCAG